AGACAGATGTTCCAGCCCCTTCATCACCCTCGTAGCCTCTGTTAGACTCTCTCCAGTAGATCCCTGTGCCTCTGGAACTGGGGAGCCCAGAACTGGACACAACACCCCAAGTGAGGTCTCACCAGGAATGAACAGAGGGGGAGGAGAACCTCCCTCCATCTGCTGGACACACTCCTCTTCATGCACCCCAAGATACCATTGGCCTTCTTGGCCACAAGGGCACTTTGTTGTCCCATGGAGAACTTGTTGCCTGCAGGTCCCTCTCCACAGAGCTGCTCCCCAGCAGAATCAACTGACATCCATGGTGGATGGTGGTGGATACTGGGTGAAGGGGAGGGGAACAGAGAGAACAGAGCAAGATGTGAGACAAGGGGCTGAGCTGAGGGAGCCTTGCTGCTGAGGCTTTCCAACCCGTGGGTGCTGGGAGGCAGGGATTGGGATCTGCCCCTTTGGCTCCCTCCCTGTCAGTGTGGGGAGGGGACAGCAGTGTGAAACCTGTTGGTGGACACCCCAGAGAGAGTTATTGGTCACTCAGTGTCACCAGATGTCCCCAGCAGAGCTGAGAAAACACCTTCATCCACAGGAGTACCTGGCTGCACAAGCATAGGAGTTGGGTGATGAGGTGTATCAGGATCTCTCTGGGGCAGTGCTGGGGAAGAAACTGCAGAGAGGTTCCTGCCATCATGTCTGTTGAGGGAAGATGGGGTGTTGCAGCATGGAAAGGTGAGCTGGTTATTGCTAGAAGGTGTTTGAAATGAGTACCATGGCTGCTGTGCACCTGGGTGCTGCCTGGCTTGGAGGGCACCATGCTCAGTGGCAACGTGCTCTGTCTGATGAACACAGTGGTTTTATGCTCCTGAGGGAGGTGAGGCAGCTGGGAACAGACCCTGCCTTTCAAACTGGTTTCCATTCCAGCTGGCTGTCCACCATGTGCTCTGCTGGACTCCTACCTTCACCATCCTGGAGCAGGCAGAACCTGTGCTCAGCATCTCTAGCAGGTCCAGGCCAGGCAGCGTTGGGATCCACGTGAATATGAGGAGTCCCAGGGATCAGGGGATGCTCTGCTGTGGGTAACTGGGAGCCCTGGCAGTGCTCCAGGCCAGCCCTGTGTTCTGGCAGCAGGAACAACATACAAGTCAAGGTGCTGCCAAAGCAGCAGGACGGTGGGTGGGGGGCATGTTTGGGCTGCATCATCGTGGGGTTTTTGTGGGGAGGAAAGTGCAAAATGGGAAGTGTTTGCGGATTTATTTTTTTTTCTCTCTGGAAAACGCAGGTTCTTTCCAGATCAGCTGGATCTTGCTACATGAAGGAGCTGATCTTGCTGGGATTGTGCCTTATTTTCAAAGGCAAGTCTGTCTTTGAGTGTCCTCTTTTTAGCTGCAAAACAGGGCCCATCTGTACAGCAGGGCAGCCAGCAGAGCAGCCCTGCACTCCCCAGGCTCCTCATGGCCCCAGCTGGCCTGGGACACGGGTGACCACAGCAGCAGGAGGAGAGCTGGAAAGCTGAAGACCACCTCATGACCTTGCTGTGGTCCCCTGCAGGGGGATGTGCCCATGTGCCAGAGGCCCAGGCTGGCCAGTCCCTGGAGCACACCTCCCATGGCCAAGGCAGTGCCAGGGCAGGAAGGGTAACCTGCTGCACTTCTGGTTGCTTTGTGGTCACAGCAGAGCTGGGCACCTGCACTTAGGGCATGGGTGGTTTTGAAAGTTAATCCTCTGTACCCAGCTGCATCCCTACACCTCGGTGCTTCCATCAGACGTTTGGGTGTATCGAGGCACCACAGGTACAACTGGGTGTTTCCTGTGTTGGACACATTAAGTGGTGGTGGGGTTGAAAGGGTGTGTTGAAAACTAGTTGGGCTCACAGCAGAGGCAGAGAGGAAGAGACAAGTTGAAGAGGTGTGTTTGCAGTTGCAGGGACTGGGCTTTTCCTTTTGCATCTGGAAGAGCAAAAGGCAAGAGGAGGCTGCTGGGCTGCACAGCCAGGGCTGCCCCACAAGACTCCTAGGGCCTAGGACAGCTGGGCAGCAGCTCTGTCAGCAGGACCCTGCAGAGGCAGGTTTATGAGACAGAGGCCAGGTTTTATCTGTCTCTGAACCATGGTTTTTGTTGGTGGAGTTGCCCATATCCAAGCAAAAGGTTAATTGGTGTGGATTTATGTAGTGGCAGCAAAATAAAGGCAACCTGTCCAACTGGGGCTGGGGAAGTGCCTGTGTGTTTGGGGCTGGGGGGCAGCCAGGGAGGTTCTGCATCCTGCCTTCTTGGCTACGTGCCTGGCAGGTGTGTGCTGAGCTGGGACTGGGGCTTGGCCAGAGTTGTGCAGCTCTGGGAGCCAGGGGAGGTTCCTGCATCCTTTCCCAGCGTTGCACTTCTGGAGGAGAGCCAGAAGTGAGGCTGTGGTTCTTGAGCACGGTTCTGAAGGCAGGTGATGTCACTGTGACTCTCACCAGCTGCTTCTCTCTGGAGAGCTGCCCCCTGGGGCTGAGACAAGCTCAGCTGTGAGCTCAGTCCTCACAGAGCTCTTCTGGCATGAGCTGGGGACATGCCTGGTGTGGGGGCAGAGCAGGACCCGCTCTTGTCCTCCCGCTTTTGGAGAGGAGAAACCGGCGAGAAGGAAAACTCCAACCTTCTCACAAAGCAACTCCAAACCATGGCAGCAGCACATCTGATACAGAGGAGCTGCTCCAGCAGCACCTCAGTCCCTCTCCCCACACACAGCTGCCCTGCCTGCTGGCCTGGCACAAGCAAACCCTTTTCCCAGCCCTGTGCCCACTCCTTGTACACGTCTGCAAGTGGGGTTGGGCTGCAATCCACGAGTGTCTTGTGTGCTGTTGCTGCCAAATGGGATGGGGGGGGCAATACCTCCTTTATACTGGGAAGGAAGGAGTGTGTGGAGGGGGAGAAGCCAATGGAAGGTGAGCCTTGGATTTACTGCTGTGGGATGACACGATGGAGCTTTGGTCCTCATCTTCTCTTCCTCCCTGTGATGTGTCTCATACCATTGGAAGCCAACTGCAATAAGCTGTAGTCCCACAGAACTCTTTATAGACTGTGCCAATGGTGTCAGGGAGGTTCTGGGAGCCTGGCTCACCTCTCTTTGCCTATACAGCTGGAGCTTGGAACAACTTGCTCCCTCCAGGATAAGCTGGATCATTGGAACTGCTGCTGGTGTGCAACAGGCACACACCAAGACTCCTTCTGTGTGGTGGCAGCGGGTGCCTGGCTTGGCTGTCATGGCTGTGAAGATGACCTGGCTCTCATGGTTCCCATGCTAAAGTTGTTACACCTAGTGTTGGAAATGGGGGCAGTTGTTTTTATTGAGAGCTGTTAGGCTGTGGAAGTTAACTGGAAAAGGTGTGTGCCTTGGAGCAGTGAGTGCCAGGGTCACCGAAGTGCTGCAGGAATGAGGAGGTATTTTGCTGGGGGGGGGGGGGTGGGTGGGTGAGGTGAAGCCCCGAGTCTGTGCAGCAGCCTGGCTGGAGGAAACTTAAGTGGGAAGGTCAGGGACTGGTTATGCCATTAGGATGACAGGAAGGGCTGGAATGGAAGGAAGGTGCACACCCCTCTGAGAAATGCAGCCTCAGGAGCTGGTTTCCAGGACACAGGCAGGAAGAGATGAAACCCAAGAGAAGTTTATCAGGGGGAGTTCACACAATGAAAACGGTGGCACCTCTGAAGACATGAGCAGCTTCCCTTGCAGCCTGCAGGTGAGACTGATCCTGGACTCGAAGGGAAGTCAGAAAACACGAATGAGAATCCAGGACAACTTTCTTTATTGCTACCAGAAGGCTTTCATCAGTACAATGGCTCCAAACACGATACCTTCCTCAGGGCTGTGGAGAGAGCTTACAATTGGGACAGGGCATTCTGAGAAACGGGAGGTGTAACATTGAAGAGACGAGTTTTGAAAGGTTTTTAACCCTTGGTTAGAAGTTACATGAACACAAAACTTTGAGGGTTAGGATTTTCTGTTTTGGTTTTGTGGCTGATGGTTCCACACCTTTCCAAGCTCAGGTGCAGCCACAGCAGCACCTCACCCAGCAGTGCTGGTCACATGCCAAGCTCATCAACATACAGGGGGAAAAACAGACTCTGCAGAATTTAAGGTTGACGACGTAGAGGGTGAAAATCCACACTGAGTGCAACATTTCTTGGTGCAAAGAAATAAGAAAACAAAACACAGTTTTTGTTCAAGTGACACCAACTCCATTAACTGCTTTCTGTGGTTGAAAACGCAAACTGTTTTAACTTGAAGTCTCTGAGTTAGGTGTAGAGCACATTGGCCAGCTGCCCCAGTGCTCTTCTAGGGCACCTTCACACTCCTGTGGTTACTCACTAAGTGTGGAGCAGCTTCCAAGTGTTGCTTTTGGTCTTTTTCCTGACTAACCTTTAATGTAAATCCAGTTTTTTAAATATCATCACATTTAAACACCAAAGTGCTAACAAAAACAAAAAAAGGTCTTTTTCTTTAGAAAGGAAAAAGCTGGCATGAAGGTTAGGTAGTACAGAACATCATGCACAAGACTTGCTGAGAATTAAAAGAGGAGCAAGCAGAAAGAGAGCAAGGAGCAGATGGGAATGGGATCAGAGAAGTGTTAGTTGGCTGGGAAACCTGGAACAACTCTGCATGACTGGTGGAAGCTCTCGGACACGGAGAATGGGTTACAACACACAGGAGCAGAAAAACAGTGGAACTGACAACACTAGAAAGAAACAATTTTTTGCTACTTTTTTGTTTGGTTTTTGGGTCTTTTTTTAGCTTTTTTATACTTTTTTGTGTTTTTTAAGTGCTTAAATAGTGGAACTATAATTAGCCGCACAAGATAAAAAAAAAAAATTCAAAAAGGAGTGGGATTTTTTTGGGGGTTTTTTTGTTGGTTTTTTTTTTTTGGCTCCCTTCAGTTCAGCCTGACAAGGTATGGGCCCTTCTCCTCCCACTGAGAACAGGGGATGCCAGGTTCCCTGTGGTTCCTGGAGCAGCTGGTGGTGTGGGCTCCCAGCTACATCACGGACACTGGCTGCAGAGGTGGACACGGGGAAACGTTGCCCTCCTGCCTCGAGACATCAGCGCCACAGACAGAGCCCATGTTTTCAAGAGCCACCACCTCTGGAGCAATGTCTTCGTTGTAGAGACGCTTGATACCGTCGTAGAAGTCGTCCACTTCCATCTCCTCCACCTTCCTCTTGGCCGAGGTGTGTTTGGAACCACTGGGAGCTGTACCTGTGAGTGGCACTCCTGGCCTGCCGTTGTCCTTGGAGAAACCTGGCCCTGGGACAGAGGAGGGCTGCTGGCATTTGAATGCTCCTCTGTTACAGGCCACCAGGCTCTGCTGGAGGGGACTGTAGACATATACAGGATTGGGCAGTAGAGAAGACTGCAGGGTGGAAAGGTGATGTGCCACGAGCTCCCGGCAGTGGATCAGCTGTGAGCTATCCATCTGGAAGTGGGGAGACAAGCAGAGGTACCGGCGTTGCGGGATCACTGCCGGGGAGAGGAGAGTGCCCAGCCCTGGGGGGGCCAGGGCTCTGCACACACCAGCCACCCCTGCACCTCACTCCTCAGTGATGTGCTGGATGTGGGCTAAAGTAAGTGATAAAAGGGCCAAGAGGACCCCCAACATGACAACAGTGACACACCCCTGATCCTTCTTAGATCTCACGAGAACAGTGTGGGGGGGTTGACTTTTCAGATTGCTGCATATTGCACCAGCTTCCCAGCACCTGTCAGACCACCCTGTGTGCTAAGAACAAAGGGCTGAGCAGCTCACTAGGATTTTTTCCCCACTGTCTTTTCCTCCTGGTTCAGAGAGCCCATGTCCATCAGGGTGCACAGCTCCTCCCTTTGCCACCTACTGCCTGCTGTCAAGACCAAGACTGCAGGAGTGTCCCAACAAGCTGCCCCTTCAGGCTCAAGCACAACCCTCTCTAGAGAACTCAACATGAATCTGAGTTTCTTCATTCACAGAATCACCAAGGCTGGAAAAGACCTTTAAGATCATCAGGTCCAGCCTATGACCAACATCCCCACATCAGCCAGACCATGGCAGTAAGTGCCACATCCAGCCTTTCCTTGAACATATCCAGGGATGGTGCCTCCACCGCTTCCCTGGGAAGTCCATTCCAATGGGAAGTGGAGGAGGCACCATCCCTGGATGTGTTCAAAGAAAGGCTGGATGTAACTATCCTGGCAGCAGCATAATCAGCAGTGGGAGATCCCAGAGCCCCACCAGCATGGATCCCTGGACTCCTAAGCAAGACACAGGCTCCTGCAGACCCCTGCCCTGCCCCCCTGCTGCCACGTGTGGCACCAGCACCCCCTTACCTGTGCCTTCTGGAGCAGCTCGATGATGAGAGCCAGCCAGTCTGGGAGCAGCTTCTCCAGCTCCAGGCTGACAATGGCCAGTGCCAGCATGGAGCCCTTGAACTGCAGCAGCTGGTAACAGGCCATGCAGTGCAGCAGCTGCCTGGTCAGGGCCGCCACGTGCTGCGAGGGGCTCAGCTTGGGCTGGATGCTCAGGAGCTGAGGCCTGGTGGACACTGCAACTGCGTGGAACTGGGTGGGGGGGAAACAAGCAGGTGAGGCAGCTGGTGTCACTGAAAGGCAACACATATATGTGTATGTAACACATATATGTGTATGCAACACATCTTAGAATCATGGAATCACCCGCGTTGCAAGAGACCTTGAAAGACATCAAATCCAACCATAACCAAGATCCCCCTACCATAACCTAATTTACCCCTTCAGTGCTGAAATCATGTCCCTAAGCACTATATCTACATTCCTTTTAAACACTTCCAGGGACGGTGACTCCACCACCTCCCTGGGCAGCCTGTTCCACTGTCCAACCACTCTTTGGGTAAAGAAACTCTTTCTAATATCTAGTCTAAACCTCCCCTGGTGCAGCTTCAGGCCATTTCCTCTGCCCTGCCATTATTCACTTGGGAGAAGAGCCCAACTCCCACCTCCCTACAACGTTCTTTCAGGGAGTTGTGGAGAGCAATGAGGTCTCAACCCAGCATCCTCTTCTTCAAACTAAGAAATCCCAGTTCCCTCAGCCTCATAAGGATTATTCTCCAGACCTTTCACCACAGCTTGGTAGCTCCTCTGGACATGCTCTGGCAACTTGACATCATTCTGGTAGTGAAGGGCCCAGAACTGCCCACAGTGCTTGAGGTGCAGCCTCACCAGTGCCCAGCACTGGGGGACAATCACCTCCCATCTCCTGCTGGCCACACTATTCCTGATGCAGGCCAGGATGCCTTTGATGCCCAAGGCTCCTCCAGCTTTAACCTCCAAGGCAATTTCCACACCACAGGGGGGAAAAAAAACAAACCCAACCCAACCTGTTGAACCCACCACCAGCTTGGTGCAGCCTTTCTGGTGGGACCTGCCATCTTGCACGTTGTCTGCCTGGGGACCAGGCTTCTCATTGCTCTGCAAAACACTGTCCCCCTGCCACCCTCCTCACTCAACAACATGGCTTTGGCAAGTTTGTGTGTCCTACAGAAAAACTCCTTCTCGAGTAAGCAGAGAGGATGAAATTCAGCCAAGAGCCTTTGGACACTTTGCCATACCCCATCCATGACTCCAGTCCTCTGGCCATGCCTCTTACAGCAGGCATGGAGAACACCTGTTGCCCAGCACTGGTGCTTTCTCTGTGGTTGTACCTGCACTTTCTGTGCTGCCTGGCACTTAGCTTAGGGGCAAGGTTTTCAGGGACTGTGAGTCTCTGTGTGGTTTAACGTGCCTCAAATCAGGTGAGATGGCAGACCCACGTTTTGGCAATTGCACCCCAAGTGTCACGAGTCTCCCCTGAAACTCTGGCAAGGCTTCTTCTGTCAGAATCCACTTGTACAGAGGAATTACAATTGTGTTTTGAGGTCTTTGGTCCCTGACAGGTCAGAGTTTTTGTCTGGGTTTGCACCAACAGACTAGGAGTGTAAACCTCCCCTTACTTACAATATGAAGGAAATCCAGTGGCGTTGCCATGTGAAGATCCCAGTTCAGTTTATCCAGGATAATCTTCTCCATTCTGCGAATTTCAGCTGGAGAACAACCACAAAAGCTATCCCTAGCCAACACCTTCAGTACTGGAATCCTCTGCAGAGAGAAAGAAAGGATAGAACCCATCATTATAGAAACAGCCCAAAGTGCTTCAGTCCTGTCCTGGCAAGGTTCAGCCACCCTGTGCAAGCAAAGGCAGGACTGGAAGGTTTCTATTCAGACTCTGCTAAGGCAGTAAGAAGCAAAAAAATTACCTCATCTTCCTCGATGGTCTTTGCAGCAAGGAAGAAGCAGCTGATTGCAATACAGTTCAAGTACTTTGGACGGGCCTACGGTACAGAAGAGCAGAAAAGCCTCTGTGAATGTGATGCAAGAATTATGTATAACCCTTTCTGGTTGGGCATCAGGAGCCCCGGGGTCTCAGCTGCCTGTGCAATGTGTTCTGGATCAGCAGGCTGCCCTCCAGCTCCACCACAGTGCTGGGAAGCCCTGCCAAGTGTCCTCTGGGACATAAGGGGGAGAGAATCTGCCAGGCTGAGGATGGCAACTGGTACCCACTGAGTGGGAAAAAGTTTGAGCAAGGTCTTAGGTGGTGCAGGAGAAACAAGAAGGAGAAAATCACACAGGCCAGATTGTCACCTGGCCAAAAAACACCCCATTGTCACTTTGCTGCTTCAGCAGAGCTCTGCTGGTGGTGCTGCTGAGGATCAGACAAAGAATATGAAGGGAAGGGAACTGAAAAAATGCTGTTCTTGCCTAGGGAGGAATAGCCATGAAAATCACCATTAGGTAACTTGGATCTCCAGCTCTCACGACTGGAGTGCAGGGATTATCAAAGGAGAGCTGGACCCTTCTACAGCCACTTGTTTTAGGTGAGGTAGGTAAAAAGGGTGACTTTTTCATGTGCATCAAAAAAATCCTGTTATGGGCCTGGGTTGGGAGGTGAGGGGGAAAGCAGGATGTGCAGCTGGGCAAGTATTCAGGTTGTCCCCATGATGGCCCAGGCAAAGCACATGCTCTGGCTATGGCACATCCAGAGTTTGTGCTGAGCAGTGACTGACAAAGGGCTTCACTTCCACCCTCAGCATGAAGCTTCTAGAGACTGACCTGGAAGGAACAACTGCCTTTTTGCCAAAGCATGTTAAAACCCATCCCCATCCTGGTCTCCTTCTCTCTGCCTCGTCTGCCCCTGGTGGTGCTGAGCCTGGCTGTGATGCAGGGACCTCTGCCTCGTCTGCCCCGGTGGTGCTGAGCCTGGCTGTGATGCAGGGACAAGGATTGTTGTGCAGTGAGTGACACCAAACCTTGAGGGGCAGCCAGTGCCAGCATATTCAGAGTGCATTCAGGGAGAAGGGAAGGGACTTGTCTTACCAGTAAAATCCCAAGTGGTAGCACCTGGTAAAAAAGCCAGGAGTTAAGCTACACCAGAGGAACGATGGCTTTGTGGGAGAGTAAACATGAAGCCCTGAGCTGTCTGAACAAAGCTCACCCAGACAAACAACCTTCCTGCTCACTGCCTGAAGCACCCAGTCAACTCCTTACTCATAACCTCATCCTTTCCTTGCAGACTCCCTGACTGCTGCCAATTACTGAAAGAAAAACTGAACTTGAGGGCATTAAGGGTTTAAAATCTATTTTCCCATCACAGTACTTGAGTAAATGAGCTGCTTTAAGATTTCCTTCAAACTAAAACCTTGTGTGGCTTGTCATTAGAACGTTATCCATGTTTAAAGGGTAGGTTTAATGGGTGATGTCACTTGTCTCCTGCCCAGCTCAGTCCCACTAAGCTGGAAGTGCACGGGCTGCCACTGCCTTCCCCTGCTCACCTCTCCCTGAGCTCTGCTGCTCACACGTGCAGCTGAGACTGCAGCTCTGCTGCTGAGCACGGGATGTAACTGAGCAAACAGGAGCAGAGATAAGGCTGCCCCAAGCCTGACTTAGCTCAAGGCCAGGGATTCCAGCCTGACCCAGTTTGTTCAGTCACTTGCACGGGTGCAAAACAAGGCCCAAGCACAGCTCATCTGACTCGCTTCTGTGGCAGACTTACAGGGACTGGAGACCAGCAGATCCCAGTTAGTGATTTTTTACCCTGTCTCTCTTTTTTTTTTTTTTTTTTTTTAAGAGTTTCTGTGGTTTAATAGCCTAAAAA